TTATTGTTCTATCGCTGAATCACATTGCAGAAGTAATATTTTCAAAGATTTGCTTTTGTTCTTTGCTTTTCAGTCACATTCAATTAAGAATGGCAAAGAATGTCATTAGAGACAGTACATGACATAAGCGTCTACTCGCTCTTAACTGGTATTTCAAGAATACCACGCCAGTAGTCAGAAACAAACACCTGATCTGGATCCATTTCCTCGCGAAGCTTTAACCAGTCATCCATCTTAGGGTACACACTTTTAAGATGAGCCAAGTTGAATGTCGTATTTCCACATTTCTGCCCAGGAAGGGGTAGGTACTTTCCCCAATGCAGACGAGTCCCAGGAATATCCAGTAGAACATCCCAGAAATAGGAGAAGTATTCCCGTTTGTTGCCTTTGTTGTAAGCCCACCAGTAGGGATCAACACGCACCATTTTCTGGTTGTATGACATACTCAGCCAGAATGGAGACTCCTTGGCGCTGTAAATCTCAGTCGCAAAGTTGCCAGCCGCTTTCTGATTCTCAAAGAGCTTGGCGAGTTTGTCCATGACGGTCTGACACTGGTCAAGAGGCATCCAGATCTCTGTGAAATCCACTTTGATAATCGAATCCGTGTGTGCCTCGTTATCCATGGGTAAGGTTTCAAACCAGATGCCACGAAATGGCTTTGGTTTACCCAGGGGAACGAATACTCGCAAAATGGCACCGATGATATCATAATCAATGGCTGTTGGGTCTGGCTTTTCAACAAGGAAATTGCAGATTGCTAAGGCTATGGCGGCCATTCCAGCGGCAAGGATGTTGGACAAGATGGAATTGTAAGGAATAATGTCTCCTTTGGAAGTTTGCTTTCCAACCCACTGCTGGACTCGCTGCACTTCCTTCTGTGGGAACCAGTTAACTCGCATGTATTCGTGACTCTCTAGACTCTCCTTCAGCTTACTTTTCCCTTCGTTGTTGGGTCCAATCAGAGACTCATCAAATGGATGATCTGACTCTTTTCCTTCAATAAGCTTCATTTCAGGAAGGCGAAATGTCACGTGGGTTATGATGCCGAAGAGTCCCATGGAAACACCAACGGCAGACCAAAGGTCCGTCCCAGGCTTTGCAATCTGCACCTGACCATTCCCGTCCACGAACTCGATCTCTTGGATCACATCAGCAAAGCCATGCTTTAAGCTTCCCCCTGCAGAACCTGTCATGATAAAGCCACCGACTGATTGTTGTATGATGCCTCCTAGCTCTGGAAAGCCAAAACCTTGCACAGCTACCTGATAGCAGGCTGAATTCTTAAGATCTGAGTGAGGATCCAAAGGATCTTTGCCCAGGTAACAGCCTGCTCCAATGCGACAGTACAGCCATTTCTTGAAAGGTTCTCTTTTCACTTTTAGTATTTCTACTTTTCGTAAATCCCCCGTGAGCAGCAGTGTAACGCCATCTTCAGGGAAAATGGCATCGCGTACAGAATGCTCAGATCCAGCGACACGAAGCACTTTCTTTTCTCTTTTTGCTTTAAGGACAGCTTCGATGACGTCTTCTTTGGAAGACACCGGTGTAAGGAGCCGTCTCGCTGGTAATACTTGACCTTTCTTCTCCTCATCTTTAATCATATGTACGAATACAGACTCTAATATTCTCCCGTCTTCTGACTGGTCAAGGAAAGGTGTGATGACGCGGTTGAAAAATGTTCTCGCTTCAGCCTTTCTTTCAGCTGCGTAAAGATCTAAAAACAAAATGTTCATTTAAAATGAGACAAGTTTATACCAACCAAATGATCTGAATAATCATGCATTTAATTGCTTTTTTCTGAGAATCCTTAGCCTCCAGGATGCTGCTGTTTTGATTAATTCTGTGCTCAAGTAATGACTGAAAGCGCTTTCCATTTGTCAGAACTGGCGGGTCGGACCATTGCCAGACCACTCAGTTACCCGGGGTCAGTTAGCAAACGAAATCGGCTTTTTCCAAAGGGTTTTTGCTGAGAAACCACCTCCTTCGTCCATACTATTTAGGATTTATAACATAGCTAGAATATTCGCCTAATCAAATTCAATAGCGCAAGCGTGCTACATATTCCCATTGAGCACGCTGATGACGTCAATAAACTATACCTCGAGTTCTTGTGTACTTAGCAATCCTCCTAAGTGTATCTAAAGCTCAACAGTACACGATGAAGCGTTTACTATGTGTTTATAAGGTAAATGTAAGAGAAAACTTTTGAATTTGTTAACCGATAGAAGGGAAAAGAGGTGAGTGTTGTTGTTGCTGTTGTTGCTGTCATCTCGCTGCGAGCTGTGCGGGCGACTCCGAGTGCAGGTCATTCTTTGCAAAGTTGTTTCTCCCAAAAATAATTTTTCGGTGAATTAATAGTTTTCCGGCACCTCAATATGGATTTTACAATCTTTTTGAGAGTTATCTTAAGCGACTTGAGTAAACATAATCTTAAAATATTGACGTGTACTGCTTTGAGCGCGGGTTACAGTAATAAATTTTTAAGTTAACTGCTGCATTGATCGCTTGGATTATGTTAATGAAAATTTAATAGTTCATGCTTCAGCTGTGCTTATGTCGAGATATTTAGCACTTGGGAAGTTTGGAGAGCACTCAAGAGGCTACAATTGCTCTCGGTTGCACCTCATGCTAGATAAACCCCAGGCCTCTAGTTTTTTCTCATCACCTACTAATTCAACTGAGATTGAGAATTTACAGCTGATTTCAGTGCTGTGTATACACCCTTATTTTCAGACATGATTCGACGGTCATGATTCGACCGTCATGATTCGACCGAGAGGTTACCAAGCAGTACAGTATTTTACCTTGAATATCCTTCAGGAATCAAAGCACACAATCTGAAAGTTACTTTTATTGATAGCTTGAATGTTTCTCTTGTAATTCAGAAAAAGAGGACTGTGATCCATAATTTGTTCTCCTTTTCAGACAACAGCCTCTCATACAAGTCACGCAATATAATCGCAATACATGTTATCGGGCGTGTGGACGTCTTGATCAATAAGTTTTTCGGCTCTTTTCTCAACTTTTTTTGGGCTTCTACCTTGATCTTTAAAGAAATATCATATTTTATCCTTTTTCAAAAAAAAAAGATGTTGCTTTCTTTTATGTATGGTTTTCTTTATTTGTGCTCACTAGGGTCATAGGTCGAGGATCGACTGACATTGTGATATTTGTCAATGGTTGACAAAACAAAACTTTCAAACTCTCCAGCAAATTGTTTCACATCGGCAGACTGATCAATTTATCTGTTGATTTCTTCTGCAAAACGTCAAGTTTTCTTGTTATTTTTTAACCCTGCAGAAGCTAAGTACCGACGAAAAAGTACCAACTTTAAGAAATACAAATTTGCCTCCCTTTTAACTAAATTTGCGTCACTGTTACGTGTGAATTGCAGGTGGTGTTCACCAACGGCAAAATAACGAAACCTTGTCAAACGGAAGAAGACTAAACGATAAACCATCGGACTATTTCGCTTTTCGCCGTATTGATAATATTTCGTCCATTATGGAATCGCCTACAGAAATACATTCGAACTCGGCAATCGAACTCCAGGTTTATCAACTGATCACATGTTATCATAATTTCTGTATCATGTCGCTGCTTTCCAGGCAACAAAGCTTTCCTCTCCGGGTAAAGCGCATTTGTCGGGATTCTAGCTTCGTTACACTTATGTCCTTTAGTGCTAAGCTTTCCTTGCCGGCCAGATTTTTCTCTCACTGTTTCGGATCCCACGGCACAACTGCAACCGTTTACGTACTGCGAAGCGATACGTCACGTGATTAGTGTCGAATCATGACGGGTCGAATCATGACCGTCGAATCATGTCTGAAAATCCGGGTGTATACATAGCAATGAAATCAGCTGTAATTATGTCCCCAAGTTCAACCAAGGCTTGTGGCCCATTTAGTATTTCAACCTCCCTTCTTAAGAGCGACTTTCTGTAAATACCACGGATAGGTGTGCAAGATGGAAAAATCGAAATCCCCCAAACTTTGTCACAACAAAGCCCTTTGGAAACTATTTTAGAAAATACAAGACTCAGTTCGTTTGACTCAATATTTTCCAAAATAATAATTTTTTTTAATTTTCACCTTCGAGAGGCCTTCAAACCACCGAAAAATGTGCTTGATACCCTCGCTTCGTGAATGGAAACGGAAACTAATACCATAACTTTTCTTACATTAAACAATTTTATGATCCTTCCTTTCTACCTAAACGTTGTTACAATTTCAAAAGATTTCAATCTGATTTTTTAATATTTTTTCAAAATTACCCTCTAAATCAGCATTATCGCAACCATCAATTTTGTCATTTTTCAACGGCGAAAATCCTTTCCTGGTACATGGCTTTCATTACAAAAATGGTATTCCAGAGAAAGAGCAATGTTTCCCCTATCAATCTGTGAAATAAAATTCTGGGGCAATTGAAACTGCGAGTTTTTACAACGGAAAACATTTACGGTACTCGCGTGATTTATGACCTCTGAACTTGCAGTTGTCGTGATGAATACAAGCGAGAACCTTGACAGCACTTGAAACTCTGACGCAAATTCGCCCCTTTTCCGCCAGTTTAAACACCAAAAACGATTTTAGATTTCACAGTGGTAAATTTTCAAAAGGAAAAGCAATTTTATTGTGCGAAAGTGTGCTATGAACTTCTTGACTACAAACACTTCCCTTACGTGCGTATTTGTTTACTTTTACCGTACACATATGTACAAAATGGCTAATAGTGTCGGTAGCTATTCTTTCAAATGCTCTCATTTCTCATGAACCAAATCGTTATAGCTATAAAGAAAGGAAAACATTTTGACCTACCTCACATTATTTGACAACAGACCCGAATCCTTTACTGCCTTTAGCGAAACGAGATTGCGTGACAAAGAACTTTGAGACCCAGGTTATACCGCGCAGACAGATACCATTGCGAAAAAGAAACTAAGACCCCGTCCACACGAAGACGATTGTAAACGCAAACGCTAGTAAACGCATATTTTTATCTCCGTCCACACGAAAACGATCATCGTTTACGTAGCGTTTTAACCCGTCCACACGAAAACGCTCGTAAACGCATAAAACGATGTCATAGTCTCAGTTCTTCAGCTAGATTATATAGCGAGTCTCTGCTCATTCGAAAGTTCTCTTTCCACTCTTCTGGTATCACCACCTGATCGGCAAAGTTGTTCCACCAGGCGCTTATACGACCTGGTCTGGTCCAGAATCTTCTCTCTTTGCTCTCACGTCTGCATCTAAGTCGTTTTACTCGAGTAAAAGTGCTTGTAGTTGTGGATAACAATCTTGAGAGGTTTATGCATCAGTCAATTCCACCTGCGCCCAGGCCCCCCCCGGGCTGACCCCCGGGAATTAGCATTTTTTTTGCCTTGGATGGCAAATTCCCGGGGGTGGGGACTCTTGAGCTGGCAAATCCCCCGGAGTGGGGACGAAAAAAGAGGGCAAATGCCCCGTCCTCCGTCAACAGTGCAACATTTTTTATTGATCGCACAGTCCAATAGTGCCATTTTAATGTGCGATTTTTTGTTTCAATTAACGTCTTCCTTTGTATAATAGCGCTAGGATTCTAACTAAGACTTCAAGCCGCGACGACATGCACCAGTTTATGGTTTTAGTATTGATATAAAAGTATTGACATTAAAATTAACAGAGCGTTGTAAAGTTATTTGTTATGAATAGTTTTATAAATATGAAAGGGTGTTCTTCAAATGATATCAACAGAAAGTTGATTCAATAACAAAAAAACGTTGATTCACATCGATAGCTCCAATTTCGCTATGTAATTTTGGCTTGATAAGCAATGAAGAAATGCATACATACATGTAAAATCGTGAACATGCCTTTACAACCCTCTACAATTTATTCCTGTCCTTGACAGATAAGCCAATCTGCCTTCTGTGTAGTTATATTCTGATAGGAAACCGTGTGCGTGTCAAAAGCTCGGGAATGGCCCGGGGGTTGGCAAATACCGGGCCCCCGGGCAGTGCAAAATTTGCAAATGCCCCACCCCCGGGACTGACAAGGCGGGTAAATGCCCCGCAGTAGCCCGGGGGGGGGGGGCTGGGCGCAGGTGGAATTGACTGATGCATTAGTCCTCTTCTTTTGTAGTTTTCCTGTATATCGATTATTGCATGATTCAATTGAATGCTCGCAATTATGCTTGAAATAAGCGCAAGCATGACACAGCTCAACACTCGTGTGTACGCCATCTTGGAAAGGCACTCGATAAAAGAGACTAGCGCTGACATCTGACGTCAGCGTTTTCACAGCGTTTACGAAAATATACGTTTACGGCCGTCCACACGAAGACGCATAAACGGCGTTTTCAAATTTATCCACTTTGGAGAGCGTTTTCGAATTTATGCGTTTACGGTGAGCGTTTTCATCGTCTTCGTGTGGACGGAAGGTCTAAACGCATAAAAAAGTTTGCGTTTACTAGCGTTTGCGTTTACAATCGTCTTCGTGTGGACGGAGCCTAACGCGGCACCTTCTGTAGCTATAAAAGCGAAACATGTAAAAAATCAAAATCGTTAGTTTCGTTGACTTATCTGCCAGAGCGACGTAACACTAAAAAAATATTTTTTCGTCAAAAGACTATATAGGGGTGAGCCCTTATACAGTGGAACCGCGATATAAAGAACCTACGAATGATTTTCTTTACCTCGATAATAGTAAAATATGCCGTAAAACCTATATTAAAGCCCCCTAAACAAATAACCCCCCTCCCCTCTATCAAGCACCCGCTTCCCACCCGTAATAATTCTTCACTAATAAATGAAAGACTGTATTAATCAATCACGACCGTAAAGGCTTCGTGTGGACTGATCCGGGATGGTTTATTTACCAACTGGAAGTTCGGATTTGATTATGATTTTCGACTGCATGACCTAAAACTTCCTGTACTTGAGCTTTTCCACTTTGTATTCTAGTTCTTTATGGAGAAGCGATACCATCTTAGTTCTAAATTAAACATATTAAGCCCCCCGTCTCTATTAAGCCCCTCCCCCTCAAACGAGCTTGAAATAATAAGCCCCCCGGGGGAGCTTAATAGAGGATTTACGGTATGAAAAAAAACCTCGATATAACCTCGTTATAGCGAGCACATTTCAGGGGCACTCAACGACTGTTTTCTGTAAAATATATCTTGGGAGAAGTAGATATTGCCTAGAATTTTCTATAGCTTGAGGACGCCTAAAAATTTCTAGATGACCGTTCCGTTCCTGTTCAATTTTCGAAGGTTATCTTATAAATTCCCTACGATTTTCTGAAGTTTAATTTTTCACATTTTACATCCCAGGTTAGGCTAATTTTTCATAGAAAAGAGGAAGCCTAAAATGTTCGGATTCAAACATGTGATTGAGAGAGGAATCAGAAAAATTCTCACTTTCGTGATACGTTAAATTGCATCTAAAATTTTTGGGAAAATAATACTGAAGCCCTTGTAATTTCAAAAATGCTCAATGCAAGTTTCCCTAGGATGACCGAACAGGAACAAATTTTACAAGCCGCTTAGAATGCATTTCTAAAAGTACTCTGGGTACACCATTGAAAAATGTTTTCAATGAATTTAGACGGAAACCGTCGTTGGGTGGCTCAGAAATTTTTTTAGGCCCTTGGCCCTTCGTTAAATCGAGGTTCCACTGAAGTCTCTTGTTTTCATCACGCTCGTTTTAAAATACGATTATGAATTCCTTACTTGTATTCTTAGGAAAAAGCGCTAAGTCGTAGTCTAAAATGTCATCCGTCCCTTCCCTCCACCCCCTAAGGGGCCACAGCAGGTTTCGGGGTGGGGCGAAGGCACGCATAACATTTCAGACTAGACATGGCGGGGCTAAAAAACCTGCACAACTTTATAGCACCTCTTGTGTTTAAATGTTCTGTAGTTCTAGCAAACTCGAACAAGTTTTGCATTTCTGTGGAACGTTTTGCCAAAATATAGGTTATGGCACATGTCAAGCCAGAAAAAGTGAGCAGTTTGATAAAAAATGTCAAGTACGACTGAACAACGCCCGTAAAAGCGCCCCTAATGACTCGGGTGGGAGGGGGAGGCTCGGTGGGGAGGGGAAACTCTGAAATTGAGCAAAGAGGACCTAGCTCTAAGCACACCGCCTGCTTTTTAGTTGTCCGTTTCCCTTGGCAATAAATTTTACCCACAGTGTCGAGCAACTCTTTAAAGGAGATTGCAAGCCCGTATATTTGGGCCCGTCAGGAACGCTCAGCGGTGAAACCAAGATCGCGCCCTCAAAAAACTTATTTCAACTCACCTGAAAGCTGTTTTTTCTTGACCTATTTAACTTATCGTTAGGAAAGAAGAAAAGGAATCTCATAATTAGCGTATGTATAAAACTATCAAGAAATCTCGAAATTCTGGGTCTTCTAAGAGAACAAATACTTTCGAAAAATTTAGGAGAAAGTCCGTGGACTGGAAATAACTCGCTATCAATTATCCGAAGATATCCGAATATCTCACTTTTCAAGCCCACGTTAACTCGCTTCATTTTTGAGGGGAGCCAACATTAGCCGCGCGACTGTTATTTTTTTGCGCCTGGGTATCTCACGTTATGCTTACGCGTATCCGCAAGTGTGTCTTACATCCTATGCTTACGTAAAGGTTATATACCTGGAACGATGGGGTATGTGATATATTCACCTGGTACCGCCCCGAGGGCTACGTGTGTAAGACTGTTCCTTTTCAGATTTTCAACAGCAATGCAAAAAATAGCTTTCAGTTAGTGCGAACGGCCTTTCCTTCTCTTTTATTTTCTTTTCCGTTTTTTCTCAAAAAACGCAGTTTTTTTTCAAGGTGCGAGGGGCGCGATCATTGGTTTCACCGCTCCAGCGTTCCAGACGGACGCAACTATACGGCTTGCAATCTTCTTTAAAGAGTTGCTCAAAAATATGAGCGAAATTTATCTCCAAGGCAGACTCACAGCTAAAGCGCAGACGGTATGGTTAGACCTAGGTCCCCTTCGCTCCATTTCAAAATTCCCCCCTCCCCCTGCCAGAATCATTAGGGGCGCTTATACGGGCGCGGTTCAGTCGTACTTGACATTTTCTATCAAACTGCTCACTTTTTTCTGGCTTGACATAAGCCTATATTTTTCCCAAACGTTGCTCAGAAATGCAAAACTTGCTCGAGGTTGCCAGAACTACTGAAAGCTTTGCTTTTAACACCAGAGGTGCTCTAAAATTATGCAGGTTTTCTAGCCCCGCTATGTCCAGTCTGAAATGTTCTGCGTTTCTTCGCCCCACACCGAAACGGGCTGCCGCCCCTTAGGGGGTGGAGGGAAGGGACGGATGACATTTAAGACTAGGAATTAGCACTTTTTTCCCCCTAAATGTCATTTTTCTAAGGATACAAGAAAGGAATTCATAATCGTATTTCAAAATGTGTAAGCAGGCGTTTATGGAAAGTAAGAGAATATAAGGGCCAACCACTTCATAGTCTGTTGTGGAAAATATGTTTTTTAGTCTTACGTTTTCATAATCGCTCTAGCGGATAAGTCAGTGAAACTAAGAATTTTGATTATTTACATGTTTTGCTTTTATAGTTACTGAAGGCACCGCGTGAGTGTCTTTATCGGAATGGTATCTGTCTTTAACCTGGGTCTCAAAGTTCTTCGTCACGCAATCTCATTTCGTTAACGGCAGTAAAGGATTCGGTTCTGTTGTCAAATAATGTGAGGTAGGTCAAAACGTTTTCCTTTTTTAAAGCTATAACAATTTGGTTCATGAGAAATGAGAGCATTTTAAAGAATAGCTACCGACACTAAAGCCGTTTTGTAGATATATGATAACTGTTACAGATACGGCAAAAGTAAACAAATACGCACGTAAGGGATGTGTTGTAGTCAAGAAGTTCATAGCACACTTTCGTACAATAAAATTGCTTTTCCTTTTGAAAATTTACCACTGTGAAATCTAAAATCGTTTTTGGTGTTTAAACTGGCGGAAAAGGGGCGAATTTGCGTCAGAGTTTCAAGTGCTGTCTAAGTTCTCCCTTGTATTCATCAATACAACTGCAAGTTCAAAGGTCGTAAATCACCCTAGTACCGTAAATGTTTTCCGTTGTAAAAACTCGCAGTTTCAATTGCCCCAGAATTTTATTTCACAGATTGATAGGGGAAACATTGCTCTTTCTCTGGAATACCATTTTTGTAATGAAAGCCATGTACCAGGAAAGGATTTTCGCCGTTGAAAAATGGCAAAATTGATGGTCGCGATAATGCTGATTTAGAGGGTAATTTTGAAAAAATATTAAAAAATCAGATTGAAATCTTTTGAAATTGTAACAACGTTTAGGTAGAAAGGAAGGATCATAAAATTGTTTAATATAAGAAAAGTTATGGTATTAGTTTCCGTTTCCATTCACGAAGCGAGGGTATCAAGCACATTTTTCGGTGGTTTGAAGGCCTCTCGAAGGTGAAAATTAAAAAAAATTATTATTTTGGAAAATATTGAGTCAAACGAACTGAGTCTTGTATTTTCTAAAATAGTTTCCAAAGGGCTTTGTTGGGACAAAGTTTGGGGGATTTCGATTTTTCCATCTTGCACACCTATCCGTGGTATTTACAGAAAGTCGCTCTTAAGACTTTAAAAAGTGTTTTATCAGTCCCTCTTCAGCTGCTCTTTAATTGCTCATTCTCTACTGGTATGGTGCCAGATCAATTTAAAGTAGCCAGCGTAGTTCCAATTCACAAAAAAGGGTCCAGCTATTTAGTCTCCAACTATAGACCCATTTCCCTGCTTTCTATATTCAATAAATTAATTGAGAAAATAATGTATAATAGAATTATTAGCTATCTTGAGAAATTTTCTATTTTATACAATAATCAGTTTGGTTTTAGATCAAAGCATTCAACCATCCATGCTCTTCTCCTCTTGACCGATAAGATACAGAGATCAATCGATAATGGCACCTATTCTTGTGGCATTCTTTTAGACTTATGTAAAGCATTTGATACTGACGATCATAAAATTTTATTAACCATGCTGGAGTATTATGGTATACGAGGTGTTGTAAATGATTGGTTTGCATCATATCTAAGTAACAGAAGACAGTTTTTCTCTTTTTTTGGTACTGATTCTGATTACCAAACTGTTTCATGTGGAGTACCACAGGGGTCACTGCTTGGTCCACTTCTTTTTCTTTTGTATATAAATGATCTGTCTAAATGCTTCAACATTTTGGATTTTCACCTTTTTGCAGATGATACAAACCTGTTTCTTGACAATACTAACATTCTAAATTTAGAAACCAACCTAAATGTAGAACTAGATAAGGTGAGCCAGTGGTTATTTGCTAACAAATTATCTCTGAACATTGAAAAAACTAGCTTTGTGGTATTCCATTCTCCGCAAAGACGAATAGCTCATAAGTTGAATCTTAATATCTCCAATATCTCTGTTAAATCTGATAACCAAGTTAAATACCTAGGACTCATTTTTGATTCTAATTTGAACTGGAAACCGTACTTGCACGAATTGAACAAGAAGATTTCAAGAGGTATTGGGGTACTATCTAAAATTAGACATTATGTAAACGAACATATTACTTCAATTGTATTATTCACTTATTTACCCCTTCCTCACCTACGGTTTATCAATTCGGGGCAATACTTATAGTTCTACTCTCAGACCTTTGATAATTCTTCAAAAGAAAGCAACACGTATTACAACTTTTTCGGAACCAGGTGATCACTGTGAGCCTCTTTTTAAGAAATTAAACATTCTTAAATTAACTGATCTTGTTACCCTTCATAATGCACTCCTCATGTATAACTATCACCATAATCTTCTTCCATATTCCTTTGAAAATTTCTTTAAAACGGTAGCATCCATACACTCAAACAATACCAGGCTTGCTTCTAAATCAACCTATTACCTCAATACTATCAAAACAAACTATGGTAAATTCAACTTTCGCTTTGCGGCTGTAAAAGTTTGGAATAACCTTGATAAAAGCATTAAACACCTCCCCATTAAATCCTTTAAAAACAAAGTCATGTTGAACATCTTACAGTCTTACTGTTCGTGAGTCTTTTTTTTTTCTTTTTCATTTTTGTCCTTTTATCTATTTACTAATTCCTTGTTTGTTCTAGCTTTAGTGGCAACCTACCTCCTATGCCTGACCATTATTTAGCTTTACTCGGCTCGATTAGCTTTTTAGTTATTCTGAGTAAATGTTACCTTTTTTGTATCAATATATTATATTGTAAATTAAGTTAACTTTTATTTGGTAATAAAGCTTATGTTGTTCTTGTTCATGCAACTCTTACGCCTCTTTCGTGCTCTCCAAACTTTCCGCGTGCTCAATGCCTCGACATGCGCACGCTGACGCATGAACTAATCGAACTAACAGATCTGGCTTGATAGTTTTGAATTTAATTGAAATTCCCAATAAGACGGGAATGGTACGTCTGGCCGGTCAGTTCTGACAATTGGAAAGAGCCCTTAATGCTTTAAACCTTACACAAAACTTCTTGTGTACAGTTATGAAAAAGTTATCAAACAAGCTCATCAGGGAGCACGACCAATAATACATTTTTGTTGGTTTTCACACTAAAACGCATAGCATTAAATCATTTCAATTTATTCCCTTCCTTGCCGTTCGTGGCAACAGACAAGAGGAAACAGTTTCACTGCCTAAATACAGTCTACCACCACAATTGTTGCGAAGATACATTTTAGCTTTATAAAAAGGTAGAAAATAGCAAATAGCGTAACGTAGCTCCTTTAATTGGACTTCATCCATCCTCTGATGATATTAATATTAATGATAATAGAAATAATAATAGTAAGGTTTCAGAGTAATATGATCATGTTAGATTGTTCATTGTGGCCTACTAAGACTTAATACAAAGTTTTATTCGGTTGTCTCTTCTAATTCCAACCTTAAGGAAACTACAGCTTCTCATTTATATAAGAAGTAGACACTTAAGGTAGCCTTGCCCTACTTTTTCTTAAAGTGTAGGTGACTGGACTGGATTTTTAGCGGGCATACCTCCCATATTTTTTCGGGAAGCAGCTGAATGCAGGTTAATAAAATTCTTCTAACTCGCGATCGCCCAGAGCAATTCCCCTCTTTTTTTGTACGCAGCTCCTTTCAATGGAATTAAACCACTATGAAATGATGCAGCGTGGCCAAAGCTTATCGTTTTCTTAAAATACTAGCTAATTGTCTGGATAGCAACTATTTCAATGTTTTTATGATTCTGAAAACTTTGTTTCAAAATATTTCCAAAACGCTCTCATAGAATTTGTTCAAACTTGCCATAATTGAGGCAGTTATGGCAGATACATACTCCCTTAAGCTATTTCTTAAAAAAAAAACCTAGTACAGATGAACCCAAAGATAAATAAAAAAGTAATGGCGACCCGATTGCATTATCTTTTGACATAACACAGTTGTGGTAACCTTTTTCCCATACCTTTTATCATGCTGACTTAGTCAATGCTCAAACTTTGGAGGTATCACCCCTAAAAAATTCTGTCGAACCACTTTAAGAGGGCTCTTACGCATTGCACGCAAACAATTTTCATCACGTTATTGGCTACTCTTTTTTTTTTTTTCAGGCACTTAATCACAAGATGTATACAATTCATAAGGTTAAACATATTTTCGTCCTCCTGTGAAGGGAATACAGACGACATCAGATCAAATTCCCCATCGGTCAGTGGTAAAAGGCGAATTCGGCTTCAAAGACGCAATTTACGCACCAATGTTTTCTGTGCCCTAAGGTCGACTTCTAGCATTAAAGCTCTTACATCAATATATTCACAGAGGGAATCAATACAACTTATCTGTCATTGATTTTCCTAAGAATGCGGATTATTAACTCGCAATTGCGAAAACACTCATTTTTTTCAACGCAGACTTGTTTATATTTCTTGCAAGATCTCGAAGAAAGCGAAAACAAACAGTAACTTTTCACAAGCGGTAGATGTCCATAATTTCTCTGCCAGACTAATGGAACCCTTTCTTTTTTGTTACCTTCCGGCATTACTACTATTAAATAGAATGAAAAACAGACGAATAGGACCGAAGATCTGGCTTCCGGATGAATGACTGCGTTGATAGGTAAAGAAGCAGTGTGGTTTTTCATTCGTGAACACTTTAGGCAGTCGCTGATTTCAGCATACATTACTACTAAGCAGCGAATGTCTGCGAACGATTGCTACCGTTCAAGCTATATTGACACATATTGGTGATTTCAGTACAGTAGCACGTGAGTAGCGCCTAACAATACAACAGAGCATTAAGAGCATAGTACTGCATAACCGTTTGTAATACGTTTCTGTTTTGAAATTTATTCTTGCAGCTTCAGTCTGTCACTTATCTTTTCTAGAGTGTTTCACTGTATTTCCGCGCGTGCAGTATGATTTTGACACCGTTTTCCGTGCATGATCGCATACCATCACTTCGATCAAACGGCTCACTGACTTTCTGATATAAGACACTCCTAATAAGTTACATGTAAAACGCTAAAAACGTTTGAATGGTGTAAGCTTACCTATCTTGAAATCCATCATGTATATATCTTTGGAATACTCTTTTGCACCGCTGCAGTTTTTTGTCACAGTCAGTGGCTACATGAACTTTCACAGATGATAATACCTTTGACTTCTCTAGATTATTGCTGTATCTCCGAAATATTATTGGTTGTATGAGTGACAGCTTGGCATCAACGCCCTCGACTTGCCCCTGGACATTCTCATTATCTCAATCTGGGATTCTTCTGGGGGAGGGGAGGGGAAGAGGCAGTCAAGGAAAGGTTGGATGGAGGTCTGCCGCCGAGGCCTTCAACCCCCGACCCTGTTTAACACAATAATCGTTCATTTCCCTACGAGACCTTAATTAAGACCCTGGTTAATTTCTTTCCGCATACAGAATTAAGTATTTTTTATAGTAACATAATGGAACTTAATTTTTGTGGAAAAAAGGTCGGCCAAATAAGGGAGTGTCCCCACCCCCCCTCCGGCATTTGGTCGCTCAGGATGCAAATATACAGGGATGAGAAAACTGACTTTGCATTCAACGTCATTGCCAATGAGCAATTGACAGCATGATAACATTACTGAGAAACTCAGAATGTATCAGTGAAGGGAAAATAATAATGTAATGAGACCAGAAATAGCCAGGCTAGGCTTGTAGAATCATCGTTATGTTTATTTGTTGCTTATTTCCGCTCTCGTGATGAATTATTTAAATAGTACGTCACTTAACCAAAATATATTTGCGGTACGGAGCTGAGAAATATGAAAAGTTTCAATTGAAACACGTATCACTGAGTTTAATAAGTATCGTGTGGTTTACTTAAATCTGTGTAATCTTGAGGCACACCGGCATTCATTAGGCTTCCGTGTCTGTATAAGTATCCACATTCTTGATTAAAGGATTATGTGTTTATGAATAACAAACAGTCAACTTTCCTAAAAATCCTTGTGGGATATTGGGATATAAGAGAGTCGGCTTTCAAGGATATTTTTTTCCAGTTTCGAATTCTTTGCTGGGATAGTTGATTTTCTGTTTCACGTAGAAACATGCCAGACTTGGAATATAATCGGAGCTACCCGCCTTCAAAGGTCTATCGTTTGATTCGCATTAAAAATCTGCCTTCTGATTGTCCACTCATTTTCGAATCAATTTCGGATCATCGGCTCGTTAATTTTAGGGTCTGCTTACATGGAGATAGATACCCCAGATAGGTGTGCTAACCCGTTCAGGAGGGGAAAAAATAACCCGCGTTTACATGCAATCTATGTTGCACCCCATCATCCCGGGGTGAGCGTTCTCAAGATTACTTAATGGTCGCTAAGTAAGTACATCTAATTGCAGTAACGTTGTCATAGAAAAGAAAAAGAAGGGTGATTAAAAAAAGCGAAGTAGGAATAAGCTGGTCTGAAACTATAAAGCATAAGACATCTTTCCGGAGGACAATTACCTTCCATTGCTGTCAAATTGAAGTACAATGTTGCGTTGCAGAAGTGTTTTCAGAATAAGAAACCTATAAAAACGTAATTTGCATGGCGGCAATTAATGTCTATTTAGCTTTTATATTTTTGTTTTTTTCTTTTTTGTATGACAACGGTAATGCAGTTAGGTGCAAAAAAAATAAAAAGAAAGAAAACTGGTTAGCAAACGACTTGTTTTGGTAGTTAATGCTCTTCTACTTTTAATTGCTTCCCTCCCTTCAAACTTTCAATGCTCAGGCTTTCCGTTTTCACTTTTAATGATGCCATATAGTTGTGGTTCGAATATGGTGTGAATTTCATGTAACACCTTGAAACGTTTAAATGCCAAAATGTGTCCTGGCTGAGAGGCTTATCCGGTCTGACAGACCGAAACTTAATTGAATTGAAATTAGACATCTAGATTATATGGCCAGGCGGGTTACCCCACCTAAGCGGGTTACCTCACCTACGTGGGGTCCCCCGCCACCATGTAAACAGGGCCTTAGAACTTGAGCGATCGCCCCAATTCTTATTTAATCTAGTTTCAGGTTGCTCGTTCATTGTGTGAACTAGTTTAAAGTCAATAGCTTGACATCAGTTTTTCTTTTATTTTCATAGCTGGCTCCTTTCCATTTGCTTCTTAATCTGATTTCACATTATATAGAATTAATTTTCGAACTGCATTTTAGAAGTCAGGCGGTCACGCCAATTTGGCTTCTAATATGATCTTAGGTTACTTGTTTCTTTTGTGAACTAGTTTGGAATCAATAGCTTATTGCCAGAGTTGTTTCAGGCAAAATAGCACTGCATGCATCATTTGCGGTCCTGGCTAACATGTACTAGACTACGAGTAGTTTCTCTGTTTTCTCCGGAAAGTTGAACGAATGAATTATGTGAGGGTGCGTGAAAATTGGCACGCGCGAGGAGGAGAATTGCCACGCGCGGTTAGAAGCGAGACGCGGAGGAAGGACCTCATTTTCTCTCATCTCACCGCATGTCACGTTCCTCTCAGGTGGCGATTTTTACGCGCGCTCGCGTATTTCGTTCGCTATTATAGCCCTGAGGGACATGAGACTGACTACTGGTAGCATGCACTCTTCTTCAGGACTACACGTGATCCACGATCCACGTGGTAGGAGCCATAAGCCACCAGCCCCACCCATGCTTATGCCACACCTTCAACTCCTTTCAACAATTCCCTTTGAGAATGACTGCTGGACGTGAAGACTGATTTAAATTATCCATAAATGTTAAACGGGATAACCCACAAACGACGTTTTTAAATAAAATCCAAAAGGACGTTTTATGTAATGAACACTCATAATGAAATGAACTGTTCTTGGTTGCACTTCAATTGAGATGGGAAGTTTTCTAGTGACGATATTTTTTCCTTTCCCCTTCCCTGTTAATCTTACTTTGTATCTTGTCTTGTCGCAAGCGTTCGCAATTTCGAATGCAACCCCCAGATTTTCTCGCTTTCGCGTCACAAGCAACAGACAAGATTCATGTAAATCTTTAACCTCTGATTTTGCGCCAAAACTGTTTGCTTGGAACACGGTCTCCAGAACATCTGATCCACTTTTGATTTCAAACCACCTCCAGTGATTTTTACTGCTAAGTTTTCTTCCATAGTTGTGTGAATCACAGACGCAGTGTTCTATATTCACGCTATCATCGACGCATTTCTCGAACCTGCGATAAATGCTTACCCTTCGGGCATTTGTTATCTTTGGGAATTTAGTACGCTTTCGGAAGGACTTTTCAACAGGGTGAGTGATTTGTACTTCGAATATCTCGTTGTTTGGGAGAACAACTAGATCCATCGTTAGTAAGTAGCTTTCCCCGACTTTTCTCCTTCGGATTTTCTCAAAACTATGACCAACAAGTCTTTGGCATCGCCCAAATCCGCCACTTCTATCAGGCATTTTTCTAAAGTTCTCCTGAATGTTGTTATTAAGAAAACCTAAAGCAAATTCAGCGAGAAAAGTAAATCGAGGATCATTATCTTCAAACCTTTGGTCCCAGCCCTCGCACTTGCAAACGGCCGATGGTTTGATGGTTAAATCTGCGCATGTGCGATTTGCAGGTATTTCTGAAAAGATACCTTGCTGTAGATAGGAACCTGAGGTGGATCTTGCCAGGTCTCCGATAGACATAATCGCGTGATGAAGATCTAAAGTAGTGATCAGGCGTCGTTGGTTTGTCATCATTGCACGCATGCGTGTCGTTCCAAGAATGTTTGCGACTTTCTGTGGGACAATTACGAAGAGCAACGAGTCATAAACCTCTGCTCGCCCCTCCATTGTCTGAAACGAAAACTTGGTTGTCTTCGGGCCGTGATCGGAAAAAACGATTGTCATCGTTTCCTCTTCGTGAGCAATCGAGTACAAATACCCGGACAATGCGTCGTCGATTTGTCGTATTCGTGTTCCAGTAACCTCGTGCCCGGAATTTAGATGAGTGTAGGCAAAAATTGGTTGTCTTTTCCCAGAATCGATATGCCCTTGAAAAACACTTAAAGAATAGTCAAGGAAATGCTCCGAGAAAACTTTTCCTCCAAAACAAATTTTACGAGGCTGATTAAATTGGTTAGTGATATTGTATTGTTTGAAGACTTCGCATGATGTATGCGTCAAGCCGTAATCGTCAATGTAATAATTGCTTGTGTCTTCCTGAAAGCGATTCCACCTTAGTTCAAACTCACCTACACCGCGTGGTGTTTTATTCTGAAATATATTATTTGTAAATAGAGAACCCCATTCGTCAAACCAACAACTGTCCTCTTGTAGAAGAGTATAATAGCCTTGGTCCTTAAGCTTCTGGTACAGGGTGTTAATTTGGTATGTTCCGTTTGAATGTTCGATGTAATTGAAGTTACTCTTGCCAGACATAAAAGCGCGGATGTTATGAAAGGTGTACGGTGCAGTGCTCTGCAGTAACTCGAAGTCTAAGGCTGTAGCATTTACAGATTCGTTGTAAACAATATGGCGAAGTGTCTCGACAGTTTTTGGGAGAGAGCGATAAAAGTGTGCTCTGGACACGGAATCCAAAACCACGATATTTAAGTTGATAGGAGCTTCGCTTTTTTCACTGGGGAGAAACTCGGAATTCTCTGTTTCCAATATTGGAGGAAATGTAAGAATCTGCGAAATGTTCTTCTTGCCGCTTGTTTTGCAGCTTAAAAAGCAAAAGCTGAAACTCCGTAGGGTATTTACAATTACGAAGTGCGCTAGAAAGTTTTCAAGGGCCTTGGAGGTAGTAAATCTGTGCTCCTCTTTTTCTTTATCCACTCTACCCTCTAAAGGGTGAATACCTGTTGCCGTTACGGGATTTCCCTTACAAGGAGATATGTTGCATTGTATTTTAAGCTCACTTTCGGGGCTTGTTCGCCAGGTTTCCTTGATTGTGCAAATTTCCTTTTGCAGCTCGTCAGCGCACTGAAGAGGTTTCTTGTGAATCTGGTAGTCTTTAGCGGCTCGTGCGCAATCGTTTTCATTGGCTTGATGGGGAGAGCAAGATACATTTTGTCTGCTTGTAATGTCAAGGATCCTGGGTTTTCTTAGTCCCAAGAAAGGGCAAGATCTCTCTGAAGGAAATTCACCCAGATCTAAATAATCTTTTGTGAACAATGTCGCAAACACATCTTTCTGATCGTCTTTAATGATCAACTCCGAGTCGGTAGAACCATCGTCAACATCATTGGCATTCTCTGTGTTAGACATAGAAATTTTCACTAATGTGTCCTGGAGGACTGAATGACTCGATGTTTCTTCTATTCTTTCCTTTTCGTGGCTCAATTGATTTATCAGGCTATCAGTCTTTATCACTTTAGATGCGTCAATTATTTTGTCACTGTTTTCATGTGAATTGTGAATGGCGTCTTCTCTTATATCAATCTGTTCATCCATCGTATTGGTACTTAGTTCATCATTTTTTACTGTGGTTTCAGGCCCAAGTTCTCTTTCAGAAGAAAATGTTAGTGAGGATTCTTCTTCTCTTGGTAAGCTATTTGCTGATATGAAAAAGGGAACGTATTCAGTAAGAAGGTTAAATTGTTAATTAAGGAGTTGCCGAATTGAAAACTGGTTTAAAACAGCAATCAAACGCTATTTTAATGTTCACGGCTTATTATAATTATAGCTGTTTTTGTCCTCGTCAAAAGTTTAATTTTAATTTTTTTTTCAAATCTCAGTTGAAATTTTGCGAGGAGAATGACATCACAGTTTTTGTGTTTTATTTTTTTAAAGGGATATCTAATCACGTTTTCTCAAGGATCTCTATTTAAAAAAAAAAAAAAAAAAAGAAGGAAATACATGTATCCACTCAAAATATATAACGTTTTCAAATTTGAATTCCTACCTTTCTTGTCTGAAAAATTCCCTATGATGCCCTATCCCTAGGTTAGGGGGATTATAACCTATGGGATTGGGTCTTTATAGGGGTAACCCCGTCCCAAGGGTATTTCCCGTAGAAAATGGCAGGTGCGCTCCCCCCATTTTTTTAAGGGACTAGGTTGTATGGGGAACTTGCAATCACAACGCGCATTTTTGTAGAAGGAATACTTTGCCGTTTGCGCTTACTTCACGTGCGCTTTTTATAAATCCTGTATTACTATAACCTTGATCTTGCCCTGTAAAAGAGAGCAAGATCGCAAGTTATCTCACGGTGTGTGTCTGTATATGATTATAACTAGATCGTAATGCTCTGCGTTTCGGTTTACTACTCCAACTCGTGCGGCCATGCTTAGTCTAAACTATCTTTTAAGGTTTCTTTTTCATTACCTGATATTGTCGTGATGCCAGTCTTTCTTGAAAACACTGCGAAATTTTTCACGTCTATTTTGCTGGTCCACACGTAAATGCCAACTGCTACAAAAACTACCAGGAGAATGAATACCTGCGCAGAAGGACATGCACACAATCAGTAACATCTCTTGTTTGGTTTATCATGAGTTTTATTTCAGGCACAGTCTCTCTTCTTTTTCAACGTCTGTAAATGCTGTTTTTCGTTCCTCTGTCATTTGGTCGGCCCTCCAGGTCTATCCATCCGTCATTGATTCAGTCCGTCGACCAGACAGTCAGTCGGACATTTTGTCTGTCTGCTCGTCAGTCAGTCAATCAGACAATTCGACCGTCAGTTCTCAAGCCTTCCAGTTACCCAGCCCATGCCACATAGATAGTGAAAGTTATCAAGGGTTCTTTTATGATCGGACAAGAACGTAATTTCTCTTAATGAAAGTTATAAATTGCAAGCGTATTATTTTTTCTTTTGTGCGAAAAGTTTGCAGGTTGATTGAACACGTAATATGGAATAAGGTCTTGCAAGCGAACTGGAACCTTCAGTGATTTCTAACTTACAAATAACGACTCACACCACACATAGACACACCAAAAAAAAAAAAACGACGAAAATAAACCAAATTCACTCGGAAAAACTTGAAACCTTTTATAATAGTGAATAGAATATAGCAGCAATATTGATCGTTTTTTTATATCCTGTAGCATGAAGTTAAAAAGTACATGCGAATAAATGCAATATCAATGTTATTATGGTCATTTGGAGATGAAATGCTTTAAAACGTCTTATAGCGCGAACGAGCACAGTGCGTCTCATAGTATCTGGTTTTAACGACAATGATGCTTTTGCGATAAGTTTTCCCTCAGTATTTTAGCCACGGCCTGATTTTCCCCGGGTATAATTTTCAATTTAGGTTTCATATACGGTACTTGACTGACTCGAGTATTTAATTAAAATAAATCTGCGTAAGTGGCAAACAGATAGTTACAATATTATATCTTCGTAATTCAACCGAACTAAGGGGATACATAGGTTCACACACTATAGATTAAGTCTTTTAACTGCTTTAACCAAGTTATCTAGAACGGTTAAGGAAAGTCACATACCTTTCTGCTCCGTAAATTCAAGGCTGCCATTTTGCGCGCTAAATGCACTTCGCCAAAATTTGGCCAACAAATGCGGCCACTGACCGCCTGTTAAGCCGTCCAAGGCGCTATCACATATTTGTACTCCCTCACACAAACTGAAATGATCTGGAATATCAGATTTTCAGTAAAAATAAAAGACCCTTTCAAATGTTGAAAATGTAAGGTTAATGTTGCGCCTGCAGTTGTGTTCCAGAGTTTTTTGTGATAGAATTCGTGACAGGTTCAACAGGTACCATTAATATGTTTTGTTTCTGTTCGCACAGTTTATAAGATGAAAAGAATTGTCTACCTCGGTATCCTATCAATTATTGAAGAACTGCACATGTGAATATAGCGAGTTTGGACCGGTGATCTCTTTTGGTTTTTAAATGTTGTAGCTGAGTCAAATTCCATTTCACGAATAGCCTCTAATCTAGCCTTACACTACTTGCCGTTTCTTCATCTGTAAAATGAACTGCAGCATTAGCTAAAAGAAAAGTTCGAAAAGGCTGAAAACATAGAGTTTTTTGATTTATACCTTACAATTATTTTACTCCTTTGTCCTTCATGCAAATAGACCTGGCTTTATAACTACGATACAAAATTTGAAAGAAACAATTTTCTTGAGTAATTTCACTTGACCTGTATTCGAAAAATTCGGAAACAAGAATACAAAATGAAAAGGTTTATTGCAGCACATCGATTTGAAAATGTTCCGTACTTGTGGCGCGAATTTTTATATTTTGTATTCATTGATACTACCGGTGTCATCTCGGAATCTAACAACGTAAAAAAGAATGGAAAAGAAAGTACTGTTATTTATTTATTTATTTTTTGCAGTTTTTTTCCTGTCGTATACAAAAGAGTACCGCCTCCACTCGCTACTGCATCATTCTCGATTCCAGACCTCTTCTCTGTTGCACATGATCGAGGACGAGAAAAGCTCTGGGGATCCATGGAACAAGGTGTCTCTTAATATACTTAGTGAAAAACAATCGAAGTGTTTCTGAACTAATCATAGAGAATATAATCGCAGTTATAGACGCAAATTTTACAGGTGCGAAAAAAAAGCCTGAATTTTTTCTTGTTTTCGTGCTCAGGCCTTGCCGGCTAAGAGAGGATAAGGGTTTGGGGCGAGAATGGTCGGAAAAGGTCCTGACAACAATTTCGTGGCTTAAACAAACATGAGGCAAACATCACTAAGGATATATTTGTGTGCGGTACTTACATTGCACCATGTAATTCAAATTACTTTCAACGCGAATCGAGTTTGAAGACTTTGGAAAAGATCTGAAGCACTTTTCTTCTCTCGATCTAATTCTCCGAAAGGGTGACTTGGACGCTAGAACAGGAATCTATTCGAAAGGCTTCTTGAAATTTGTAAAAGTGGAGATCTTGGAATTCTAAACGGCAGAGGACTAGGACTATTAATGTTTTTCTGCAATGGCAACTGTAGCGACACTTGATTGACAGTAAGCATAATCGGATTACTAGAAAATTGGTAGGCGTTATGCAAAAACATAGGCTCTTAGAGCAGGCGCTCCCTTCCCTTTTCCCTTTCTCCCTCCCCCTCCCCCCCCCCCTTTTTTGCGCCTGCCACGCAGGCTAGTTAATAGGAAGACAATTTATGACTTCATCAGTGTTAAGTAACGGTCCAGATAAGAAGGAAAGCAACAACGGTTTATAACATGTTGAAAAGCAGAAAGGTGCTAAATTTACTATTGTCTGTTCTATACTTTTGTTGCATGGCTAAAACAGCAAAAGTTAAGAAAACTTCATAAAGAAGTATATATATATTGATCCTTACTTTTCCAACCATGCAAACTTCCATATAACAAATTAAAATCTCGTCTCAGTCTGAATAACACAGAAATCCTTTGTGGGGAACGTAAAGTTATATAACTTTTCTTGGCTATTTTTTGATACTTCTATGATTGGCCAAAATCTTTTAACACAAAAATACAGTCTTTCAAAAGGTAGTGTAAATACATTTTATCGGTTTTTCTGTAGGTTTATCCATTCTCTTTGTTAAAATGAGAACATTCCTATGTGGGAAAAGCACATTGCCGCACTACAAAAGAAAATGCTTTCCACCTTACCCGGATCATTACGTAATGTGTTTCACTTCTGACAAACTAGATTCTACCCTGGGTACCAGAGGTTTTTTTTCTCGCGTGCAGCGGGATTCTTCGGTGTCGGCCATAGGTCGACGCTTCTTCGCCCGAAGCCCGAAGCCACGAACGACGCGCGAATTCACGAGAAAAAAACACTCTAAAGACTTGACCGAAACCGGAAACCGCGTCATATATATTAGCAGTCTCTGGTAACCAGGGAAAAGAGATTCTAGCCCTACTCGCGCGAACACCACTTTATCTAATCCTAAAATCCAGTCAAGTTCCCTAAATCCCCACTTATACCATAAATAATGATCGGCTGTCGCAGTTTTCTTAGGTAGGTAGCCAAGCTCTATTTGCCTAGCCCTATATATAAATCGGGTACGGAAGACACTGAAATCCATGTTCCGTGCCAATGCCCAGAAATGACAATGCAGTAGCTAATGTCGATATACTTCTTGAACCGAAAGCCGCTAATGTTGTGCATTACATAATTTGCCACAGTTTCTTTCGGTGTCGGTTTTTGTAAAAAGGCTAATGTTTTGTTTACGTTTTAAAGTTAAATACCAAACGTGATAATTGGACATATATTCTTCTTCGTTATTTTCAGACGGCTTACTCCAATGACAATCCCTTAAAGAATACGGCGAATATCTAGGAAACGAGAAGGCTTCGCCCAAGACCCTGTTGTACACGAAAAGAAGTTAAGGTGGAGTCGCTTGGAGTGTTTCAACCTCAGATGCACAGAAAGTGAAAAAGAATAGTTTCTTTATAGATACACTGAGTTCTCGAGAATTTAAACCCAGTCCATGAAAGTGGCGCAATCAGTGTATCGAT